TAGTGTGTGGCATCATACTTTCTATTTAAGCAAGAGATACAACAGCCATGTTGGTTCACATAAACTGAGTTGTGTCTCCAGTATTCTTAACAGCCTCATTAAGTTCTTCTAAAACTGGCTTTGACAGTGACTGGCTTATAAGGCTTTCTGCATGTTGACGCAGTCCAGAGGCATGGTGCTTTGCAGCCTTTTCATATAGGTTGCCAGTACTGGCTTAGCTGATCAGTCTGGCAAACCAAGCTCCTCCACTTTTACTATATAAATCCATGATATGCCCACATCTTGAATACTGCGTGCAGTTCTGGTCACCCCATCTCAAAAAAGATAAATTGGAATTGGAAAAGGTACAGAGAAGGGCAACAAAAATTATTAGAGGTATGGAACAGATTCCATATGAGGAGAGATTAAAAAGACTGGGACTTTCAGCTTGGAAAAGAGATGACTAAGGGGGGGATATGATAGAGGCTTATAACATCTTGATTGGTGTGGAGAAAATGAATAAGGTAGTGTTATTTACCCCTTTCACTTAACACAAGAACCAGAGGTCACCCAATGAAATTAATAGGCAGCAAGTTTAAAACAAACAAAAGGAAGTATTTCTTCACACAATGCACAGTCACTCATGGAACTTTTTGCCAGGGATGTTGTTAAGGCCAAAATTATAACAAGGTTCAAAAAAGAACTAGATAAGTTCATGGAGGTTAGGTCCACCAATGGCTATTAGCCAGGATGGGCAGGGATGCAATACCGTGCTTTGAGTGTCCCTAGCCTCTGTTCACCAGAAGCTGGGAGTGGACGACAGGGGATGAATCATTCCATGATTCCCTGTTCTGTTCATTCCCTCTGAAGCACTTGAAATAGTCACTGTCGGAAGACAGGATACTGGGATAGATGGACCATTGGTCTGACCCAATATGGCTGTTCTTACATAAAAATAATTATAATAATAAAAACAACGAGGAGTCCTTGTGGCATCTTAGAGACTAACAAATTTATTTGGGCATAAGCTTTCGTGGGCTAGAACCCACTTCATCAGATGCATGGAGTGGAAAATACAGTAGCAGGTATAAATACACAGCACATGAAAAGATGGGAGTTGACATATCAAGTGGGAAGTCAGTCTAATGAGACAATTCAATTAACAGTAGGATACCAAAGGAGGAAAAATCACTTTTATAGTGGTAATGAGAGTGGCCCATTTCAAACAGTTGACAAGAAGGTGTGAGTAACAGTAGGGAGAAATTAGTATGGGGGAAATTAGGTTTTGTAATGACCCAACCACTCCCAGTCTTTATTCAGGCCTAATATGATGGTGTCCAATTTGCAAATTAATTCCAGTTCTGCAGTTTCACATTGGAATCTGTTTTTGAAGTTTTTTTGTTGAAGAATTGCCACTTTTAGGTCTGTTATTGAGTGACCAGGGAGATTGAAGTGTTCTCCTACTGGTTTTTGAATGTTATAATTCCTGATGTCAGATTTGTGTCCATTTATCCTTTTGCGTAGAGTCTCTAAGGTGCCACAAGGACTCCTCGTTGTTTTTGCTGATACAGACTAACATGGCTACCACTCTGAAACCTATAATAATAAAGTTTAGTATAGAAACTCTCCAAGATAATGACCTCTCGAGATAGCGATGATGTGAGACAGTGACCTTGGCAAATAATGCATTTTAAAAAATTTGGCCTACTAGGAAACATATTTATATAAGTTTCCCAGTCACAAATCTAGCATTCTGTAGTGAAGTCACTAAAACATAGTCCAATGCTTTGGCCGCTGTTGTTTGTTGTGCCACCATTCACTCTACTGCTCCATCCTCAATGGCCCTGCACTATCACCTTCTGCTGCCACCTGCCACTGGGACCTTTGGGAGTCGGTCTCTTGAGGTTCCACCCAGCTGTCAGTGATTTCAGCTCTCAATGGGGGAACCTCACAGCGAGTGCAGGCTGGGCTATCTCTTCCACAGAAACACTGTCCCACAGCAGGTCTAAGCACTTAGACCTGATTATCAGTGATTTCAGCTCTAGTGGTCACTTAACAAACCAAAAGACTCCCTATGAAGCCTAATCAACTCTCTTTCTAAACAGGAGAGAGGGACAGGTCAAATAGTGCCTGTGTCTCTTAGGCAGAACCCACACCACCAAGCAAAACACCTGTACTTCACCCTCTCTCTCTTCACTAGGATATGGCATCCAAACCTCCTGCTTAGGGAGTGCAGTTCAGTTGAGGATGACCAGTGCTTAATTTGTAATGAAAGAGGTGCCAGGGCTCAAGCAAGTTTGTTACTTTCATAACTGATGTGACAAGCCCAGAGGTCCCAGGGCTATGAACTGCCAAGCCTAGAGGTGCCGGGGCTCAGTCCTGGCAAGCCCTAGCACAAATTAAGCACGGAGGGAGACCCCCCTCATTCAGTCAGGCTATGTACAGTTCTGCTGCCCTTTACTCATACAATAAGGATAACATTTCATGACCCCCACATTTAATACTTAAGTGATTTGTAACCCAATACCAGCCAAAATTGATCATTTGGGCAACACAGCTCTGTCTGCCGGATACCTACGCAGAGTGGGTTGTTCATGTAAATACAGTCTGGTCCTGAAACCTTTCTAACCACGACTGGCTCATCACTAGCTGTCAGGGGAGAGCTCATTCAGATCTTGCTTACAAATCATAATTTGAAATTATTAGGTAGGCCAATATAGCCGAAACAAATGTGCTAACATTGTCATAAATAACAGCTGTATGAGGAAGCTAGTCTCTGTTCATACTTTTCAAACCCATTATGCTTTCTCAGGTACAAGTATTTTCTGATAGACTGTGTATTCTTTTAAAGTGTGTATTAATGTTTCAATTTCAATTCAGATTTCCAACCAATGACTAAATTGGCAACACTGCGTGTAACTGGGGAGGAGGGGTGTTGGGGAAAGTCAGAGGAGGTGTATACCCCCCTGGAGGGGAGGGGGGGTCTAGGCAAACCCCTGGCTCTCACTCCCAAGAAGTAGGTCTCCCTTGACGGCAGAAATGGAATGTTTTAAGAAGTCAGAGGGAAGCCCAAGACCAAATGAATGTGGAGTGTGAATTCTCTTCACTTCAGAAAAGGTTAATCCCTTGTGGTTGGAGTACACTGATAGAACAGTGCAAAGAAGCCACAGGGAGGAATGAACATGAAGATTGAATTATTCTCTGCCCTAATTATGGTATGTCTGATCTCTCTGTATGGACCAGGAGACATTAAACATTGCATCTGCCTTGTTAATACAATGGACATTACTAAAGGACATTCAGCTCCCTTGCAGTAAAACATTTTTTTCTGCATTTGCCATAATTCAACAAGAGGCCATGTTCAGGCATATTTACTGTAAACACAGTATTTTCCAGTGCAACTCCCTGGTGTCTGAAAACCTAAAGAGGAAAGAAAGATAGAAAAGTGAGACAACCACATTTGACTTTCAGTGTAATAAAACTAGTTTATTTACACAGTAACATGAATGCCACAAAGTACACAGCAAAGTACCACAGCAAACCAGAGTGTAACTGCCCCCTGATGGCAAAGGAAGGCTTGGAGTTTATACACTTATTTATATAGAATGTGTCAATATAGATATGAAGCACCAGATAAAGCAATGCAATCAGGAATTCCAAACACAAAGCTTACCCAGGACAATGGAGTCAAAATAAAAAAAAAAATCTCTTATCTGAGGAATTTTAAAGAAATCCCATTTGTAAAAGATCACCAGTTTAGGAATCTCTTATTTAAAAATAAGTTTATCTCCTTTTATGAAAAACAAGTGTTTTTACACTTAAATGTTCAGCATAATTAAGAATTAAAAGAAAAAAACACCACAAGGATTTGAGCTGCAAAACTTTCTGCAACCAACAAACAAAGAAAAAGAACCAGAGTTTTGAAATAGTTTTTCATAAAGAGGTGTCATTGGTTTTATGAAACTGGTATGCTAAGATTCAAGCAAATTTACAGCATATATTATATGCTGTATATAATATATATATACACACACACACACAAAACAGAAGAGGGGCAAAGTGATTTTTTTGTAGTACAATAAAATTTATATATATATATATATGAACATATATTTCTCTCATATAAAAAACATTCCAACCTCTTCTAAATCCCTGAAACCTTCTTCCTGGATTTAAGAAAACAAAGGATGAGATGGCTCCTCTTAAACTGAAGTATAAAACAAGTTCTTTAGAATAGCGAGATGCTTAGGTACAGATAAGTTGAGTATTTCATGCCCCACTGCCATTTCTGAAATCTTCTGTACACTTAATTCAGTCTCTAACTAGGTGTTGAGTGGAGTGCCAAACATCTAATGCAGTGGTTTTCAAACTTTTTTCCTGGCAACCCAGTTGAAGAAAATTGTTAATGCCCGCAACCCAACAGAGCTGGGGATGAGGGGTTTGGGAGGGGCTCAGGGCTGGGGCAGAGGGTTGGGGTGTGGGGGTGAGGGCTGTAGGGTGGGGCTGGGAATGAGGGGTTCAGGGTGTGGGAGGGGGCTCTGGGCTGGGGATTGGAGTGCGGGAGGGATCAGGGCTGGGGCCAGGGATGAGGGGTTTGGGGTGCAGGAGGCGCTCCAGGTTTGGGAGGGCTCAGGGTTGGGGTAGGGGGTTGGGGTGTGGGAGAGGGTCAGGGCTCTGGGCTGGGGGTGCAGGCTCTGGGGTGGGGCTGGGGATGAGGGGTTTGGGGTGCAGGAAGGGGCTCCGGGTTAGGAGGGGGCTCAGGGCTGGGGCAGGGGATTGGGGTGTGGGCTTACCTCCGGTGGCTCCCGGTTAGCAGCGGCCGGGATGCAGAGGCAGGCTACCTGCCTGTCCTGGCACTGCGCCCCGGAAGTGGCCAGCAGCAGGTCCGGCTTTTAGGTGGTGGCACACAAGCAGCTCCGCGTGGCTCTCGCCCACAGGCACCCCCCCCCCAGCTCCCATTGGCTGGTTCCCGGCCAATAGGAGTGTGGAGCCGGTGCTCAGGGCGGGGGCAGCGCACAGAGCCCCGTGGCTCCCCTACCTAGAAGCTGAACCTGCTGCTGGCTGCTTCCGGGGTGCAGCGCCGTGTCGGAATAGGTAGGCACTGGTCTGCCTTAGCTGGGCAGCACTGCCGATGGGACTTTTAACCTCCCAGTCGGCGGTGCTAAACAGAGTTGCTAGGGTCCCTGGGTGCTGAGCAAGGTGACCCAGTACTGGGTTGCGACCTGAACTTTGAAAAACACTGGTCTAATGCAAGGAGGCTTATAGAAAATAATTTAAATTCATAAAGAAATCTCCCAAGCACAAAGTTCTTTATATTATGTCTATTCAAACCATAATCCTTCAAATAGTGCCTCAAAGTGAATAATATAATCTAGACAAACATCTAGTAGAAATTCTTCATAACACAACAAATGGTCAGGAGGAGGGATTATGAGACTTCTCTAGGGTTCTTTCAGAGTTGTAGTCACTTTACATTAAAAGTTCTACCCAGAGTTTCTTTTACAGAAGCATTTTTAATTGTTTTTTTCCCTGCTCTTGAAATCTGTTTGGAATCTATGTGCTGGTTTATGGACCATTTCCACTGAATTGAGTTTTGGGAACAGTATGATTACTGAAGCATTTAAAGTTCTGCTCTACATTTCTTTGGTATTATCTACTATATATTTAAATCATTTCAACAGAAAAGCCTCTTTTGGTTTAATCTAAGAGAGTGATTTGGTGCAGCAGATCTCACAGGGTATGTCTACACTGCAATGTAAGGCCAGGGTTAGTGGGATTCAGGAACTGAGACCCTGGGTTTGCAAGCCCAGGGATTGAGCATCTACACTGAATATTGACCATAGGTTTAGAATTTCTGCACCTGGGCTTCCAGCGTCCACACTGCAGTCCACAGATTTTGTTCCACTCATAGCAACATATGGGCTGCACTACACAGCAAGCTCCTCTTTAAATGAGCAGCATTTAATTGAAGGGCTGTGAGTGTACTCTGGGATTTCAGGAATTGCAGCAGCATCACTTCCATTAAATCAGTGTAAACTTGATGACCCAGTGATGTGGGGAGTACTACCCATTAACTACACCTGCCAGGAAACAATGTTCAATCTGTATCAAGTTGTGTGTGTGTGGGGGGGAGGGGTGGGAGTGTGCTGAAGGGTTTGATACTGCTGCCTATAACTGCTCCCAAAGGCAAAACACTCTCTCATTGGCTTCAGGGAGAGAAGGACTAGGTCCCTAGTTGAAAACAGGAAAAAATGTTAAAATATACTCATTTAGGTAAGGCTTCTGAATGGGGTAATGCCCTTGAGATATTTCTATTTCAGCAACAACTGACAAGTTTTTCAGACAAAAGCTAGGGAGCTGGAGTAGGAAGCATCTGGGTAATCTCCCCAGTGTTTGATTGCCAACATGCACTAGATTTATTTAAAGTATATATTCTTCCCTCTAACCTATCAGAATCCCCCTGTTCTACAATGTCCAGATGATGCATGCAGATCCTGTGGTGCTGTTGGCAGATCCCTAAAGAAAATCTGGAGTGGATGTTGGAGCTTGAAAGATGGTAGGATAATGTCAGACCTTCTGTAAATACTATGTACACACTGGATTGCAGAGTGGGATTTCCAGCACCATAGTATTCCAATAAGCTGAGATTTCTTACTTCAGTACCGACTTCTTAGTCTTCATTTGACATCTGAATTTTAAAAAGAAGCCTTCTCTCTATTTTCTGACATTCCAGAGCCCTTAGAAAAAATTCTGCATTCTCTCATTTCTGGAGATTTCCATATGAGCTTTTGTAGTGGCTGTGGCATCTAAATTCTGTCTAGATGTTCACCTGAACCATATATATTCACTGGACCAGATCTGAGGCTTGGAAGATAAACTGGGTTTACTTATCCATTTTTTAGGAAACACACAAGAAATCCACATTTATAAACAGATTCTTGTTTTCCAAAACTCCTAAATTAACAGTGGTTTGCATCAATGCCTCCACAGCATATAGATGTGTGTGCAGCACATCCACTATATATAATGTGAGGAGCTGCACATCTTACACACATTCTCTTCTTCCCAAGCTATTCAGTCTCTTCATCTTCTGGAGTTGGAGTGTCTGTAATAGATTGTCAAAGCAATAGGACTCTTGAATTTTAGTGTATTATGTCTAGACCAAGTGACATCTCATCTATTTCTCACCCAGTGCTGAGTCTCAATTTCAAATGTGAAAAATCCAGAGGCCTGCTGTCATTTGGGGTTTATTTTGGTACTATGAGCAACTTCAAAGGAACTTGTTCATGTAACTGACCTTCCAGAAAATGTTCCTTTCATTAAATTGATTAACTCAGCATCATATGAAGTGCACCATTTTATTTTGTAGTCATCTTTTTATATTTATGGGTATGTCTACACAGCAGTTGGGAGGTGTAAGGCTCACGCTAGCGCCTAAAAATAGCAGTGTAGCCACAGCAGCATGGGTGGTGGCTTGGGTTAGTTGCCTGAGTACGTATTGGGGGGGGAGGGGGATCAGACGGGATGATACTTAGGTGGCTAGCCTGAGGCATCGTGGCCAAGTTGCTATTTTTAGGCACTAGCTTGAGCAGAGCTAGCACGTATCTGTCTATCCACATTGGGAATCACAGTGTGTATACATACCCTGTGTGGTACCCAGCTGGTGTGTATGCATACCCTATGTAGGCAGTATTATTTATAGGGCTGTTAGCAGGTGGAGAGAGATTCTGACTGATTCTCTCCATTACTATTCTAATTCTTTGACAAGGCACTATACATTGTGCATTCAATTGCTGATCTAGATTGTTCCATCCAAAATGTTAAAAAGATTTTTAGTGGCTCTAAAAGCTTCAGAAACCACTAATTCTAATTCTTCATCAAACAATTACATGATTTTCCAGATCTTATTTTGAACTTGAAAATCTGTATAATTTATATTTAAAAAATAGTGAAATGGCAGCTTTTAGTAATAGAAAAATATATATTTACAATCAATACTGTTATCTTAGAATTGCAGCTCTTCTCATTTCTTGAGCTCAACTAAAAGTGCTACACTACTTAAAAATCCAAACTCTGTGCATGTATATGTCCACATGCAAGTACATAGGCAGGGGTCCCGTTCCTGATACATAAAGAATCCCATTGACAAGGGAACAGGTTTTTTTCTCATTTGTTTAGAAATTAAGCTGTAGCACCCCCCGCCCTTTTTGCTTTTGTTTGTTTACAGTCAATTTCATGCATACATTCTCAGATATTTGTGCGGTGTGGTTCTTAATCAGCATGGAGGACCCCCATAAACAGAAATATGATCCTCAAGGATGTCTGCAAAAGCAGCCCCAGAATCACCAAGAAATGGAAGCTCTTGCCAGTTTGTGTTTGTCCTCCTTGACCATTCTTTTGTTCTTAAAAAGAAAAAAAAAATCACATTGATTTTACAAATTGCTAAAGGTTACCCAGTGCTGCACAATAAAGAGAGCGGTAGTGAACATTCATCCATGCTTAATTATACTGCAGAACTAAAATGAGTACTGGTTTAAATTTAATCACAAACAATATGAACTGAAATTAGATATCTAAAAAACAAAGACATATAAAGGCTTCGGACCAGCTGTGTTAAATACATAAGGTTGTAAAACATTCAATATTCAACTTTGCATGTGCGTGTTGACATGAAAGTGACACTGAAAACATGTGTCCACATACACAAAAAAAAAGAAAAGAAAACCCAACCAAACCAGGCGGCCTAAAGGAATGTGCCTACTGCAATGGCCAGTGGTCCATGTGCTGCTCATACAGCATATATTTGTTAGGTGAGAAGTTATGTGCAGATAGGCGCCACTTAAAAACAAAACAAAAACCAACACTAAACCAGACCAGGGGAACAAGAAGAAGCAGTGTCTTGTGCTTAGCTTAAAGTTGGTGACTGTCTGGTAGTTTGCAGGTAGCATTTAAGTGAGCTGTCAACTCATGCTCAGTGTATATAAGCCATAAGGCATTACACGATTCTGTGCCCACATGAAACAGGGCTGCATTTAATGACTGTGCAATTCTTTGTAAAGGCTTCTACCACAAGTTTGTTCAGCATTATGTAGAAAGCCTCTTTCCCAAAGTGGTGGAAGTCATCAACTCAATGCACTGCATTTGTGCTTAAGTGCACTGCACTCTTTTTGCATTAACTCTTTGCGATTTTTTTAAGTGATATATATCACATTAAAATACATGATCCTTATCCTTGCCTGATCCCTCTCTGATACAGATGAATCAGACAAAAGGATATTTCATCAGAAAGTTTAAAAACGTTTAAAAAGTCCACAAAAATATTCTATATATTACTGCACAATCAATGTAGGCTTCCACATACCACAAAGTTTGGCTCGGACAGATGCCAAATTTCACCCCCTTCAAATATGCGATGTGTACATGGAGCTAGTTTCACTGACCTCATGCCTGCAGGACTATTTGTTCAGTTTCCATGCATCTGGTCCAAGCATGCATATGCTATAAAAAGTGGCTATTTGTTTTCAAGACTGAAGTAAACTGATTTCTCACAGATTTAACGAACAATGAAAAATGAAATATCAATCCATATAAACAACACATGTAACTCTGCGCATTTATGTGCCAGGAAAGTAAAGGAAGGGTTTGCAGATCTAGCATCAGGTAAAGTCTGGTAAGTAACGTAAACACTGTAATATACAGATTTAAAAAAATACATACAAGAATTGCACATATATCCATAGGAGAGAAGCACAGGCTCAAAACTTGGGCTATATGCTTTCCATCACCCATCTCAGAATATTAAATATCACCTTTCGTTTGCCCCCATTGTGTTCTTCAGAGATATTTGAGACAATTGAGAACCTAGCAATACTGAGCAAAGAGAGCATCTGTATGATTGTAGGCGTTCCATAGGAAAGGTCGCTATCTCAGGAAAGGAAACCAGCAGCTGCCTCTAAAGGTGAAAAGTTCCTTCAGGTTGGATTTTTTTTTTTTAACCTGTCACCTTCATACCCACTAGTGCCCCCTTACTCTAAAACTATATCTGCAATGATCTCTGAGCTATGTCGACAGCCATTCCATTTTTAGGGATTTTTAGGGTGTTGTCTGAAGCAGCTAGTACACTAGTAAACATTAGTTACTGATAGAAGATTTGTAGCCAAATATTGTGGTGGGGAAAATAGATCAGGTCACTGTTAGTTACAGCTGCCAAACTTTACAGGTCTCTCAGTAATTAAATAGTAGTGTTTGCCCCTTTGTTTTCCCCCCAGAGAAATGCATTTGAAGTAAAACCATCTCCATGTGGCCTGTTAGAATTGTTTAGCGCTTGTCTGTGTAGCTATCTCCTGCCAACACACCAGCACTGCCAATTCAGTCCTGCTTTGCAATATGCCACAAGTGGCTAGCAAACCAAAATAAAACACAAAGAAGGAGGCTGCTATTTTGATACCTGATGCATAGCAGCAACTGAAGGAGGATTGGTTATGTAATTTCAGTTCATTTCAAGCCCAGGGTTTAGTGCCTTTTAGGGTGGGAGGGATGTTTCAGTTGTTCTTGGTATGTTATGTTGCTTTTGTTTAACACTGTTATATCTACAATACATGACTTTCCGGTCCTATATACTGGTGGGAAGAGAAACATGCATGTTCTGTTTGCTTTTCAGTGGAGATACTACAGGTTGATGATCATGGGCTGATTAAGGCAGGATCCTTGGAATCCAGGACCCGTGATCAGAAGGGATATGGACAGCTAGCATGTCAGAGAAGGCAACAATATTGGACACTGATGATTGCTGCCTATTGATTACTTGCTGGGATCAGAGGACTACCCCAGTTGGGAGGAAAATAAAGAATTTAAGAGTAGGAGTAAAATAAAAATCTACCTGACTGAGAAGACTATGTGGATGAGCTTCATCCTAGACTGAGAGGCAGAACCTTTCACGGGGGATGAAGCAGAGGCAATATTTTTGTGGTCAGGGGCTCTTAACTTTGGTGGATCATTTGATTCACATTTATGATGAATTAATCTGTTGATGGTCATAAATGGTCACTGCTTTTTCTGCAGATGCTACCACTAGAAATGGCAGGATCCATCCAGAGGAGATGGGGAATTCATTCTCTATAGTAATATAAAAATAGTGGTCTCCTTAAGATTTTTCTCTCCCCTTTTTCAATCTGTTAAAAAATTAATCCAACCTAGGAGGTATATAATCCAATTGCAACCATTGTACATATGATTAAATATGGAAGGCCTAGGAATTGAATAAAGTCTCCATCGTATCTTCAACAGGAGACAGTATTTCCAATTAGAACCTATTTGCTCAGGGTTGCTAGCTTTGAGATCTAGGCTATTTTTTTCAGAAGTTGTGCAAAGTGTGAACCCTGGAATAAAGAGGGTGGGAGCAGAATAGAGCAAGGAGTAGGGGGTTGAGGAAAAGCAACAGCTTGTACAAACTAGTGTTGCTGCATGATTTTCACAATGCGACTGAGTGAGTCTGTAGTGGCAAATGCCAGATATTGAGAACAAAGCCAGTCTTCAAGGCTGACTCCACACTCCCTGTCCAAGGACTTCTCTGCAAACTTGATCATCAGCAGCGTCCGTTTGATGTCCAGCCAGTTCTGCAGCACAGCATCCTTCCGTACTGGGCTGGAACATGAGCTCAGAGTGTGGAACAAATCCTCACGTGGACCCCATAACAAACACTGAAGGATTCCCTTGGCCTCAGAAATAAGGATTCTCTCTGAAGGATTGGGATTCAGCAGGCAGCTGGCGAGTTGCTGGAGCCCATAGGAATAGAGGGAACGGGAGGGGATCCTGGGGAGGTCAGCACGGGTATACTCCTTCTCCTTCAGCTCTGGATTCTCATCAAAGGGGTTGGGTAAGTGCAGCATTTCATAGATGAGGATGCCAGTTTGGAACTCATCACACTTTTTGTACTGTGTGGCAGTGATGATCTCCGGGGCCAGGCGGGATTGGTCCCGTAGCACCTCTGGATCTACCATATGTCTCTTTTGCTTGGCCTGTGAGAAATTGCTCACAATTAGCCTGGCTGGGCAAGCTGCGTTGGGATTGGGCTCCACAGGCTCATAGTTCAGAAGGCCTCCCCTTGGTCTGTAGTGAACCAGCAGCAGGTTCTCCAAGCGCAGATCACAGTGTGTGATGTGATAGGGTTTCAGGTGCTCCAGGCCTGAACACAGCTGTAAGAGCAGTAGACATACCTGTCTTTCATAGAAGTCTGGGTTATTTGCATGGCGGGCTGTGGACTCTCGCACAAAGTCAGCCACCGTTAGGTATGGTACCTCCCGTGTGATGACCACAACACGGCTGCGCTGCTTGCTGATGGTCCGCTCACTGCCTGAGTTGTCTTTCTGTGAAGCCTCCAAACAGGAAGGGGTTTCTTTGTTCTTTTCCTCATCTTCTACCTCTTCTTCCTGTTCATCTTCCTCCTCCACCTCAGGTGCATTGGGATCCTCCCATGGAAGGAGGCGAACAGGTACATCAGCTAAGAAATGGCCACAGTCCTGTTGGATGTTAAAGTTAATAGCCAGACTCTGTCTGATAGCCAAGCTGTGGTAATACTGTTGGGATTCTTTAGCTTTGCTCTTACAAATCTGTTGGCAGAAAAGAGCACAAAACCAAAGTCAATTATTATAACTTTTCATTTGTAAACGTTTTTTTCTTTTTAAATGTGCACAGGGCTGCCTGTTGCCAACCTCACCCCAAATACTGGAAATTAGGGAGAGTGAGGGCTTAAAAACCTTCCCCTCTGCCCTTTGGGAGCATACTTTGAAACTCATATATGTTTTTATGTATCTTACATTGATTGCTTTTTGGAGTGAAAGCTAAGGACTCTGGACTTCTACTTATTAATTTTTGAAATATATCATGAGGTATTAAGTGATGACACAGCCCACTGGAGATTTTATTTTATATATTTCTCATAGAATCATAGAACTGGAAGGGACCTCGAGAGGTCATCTAGTCCAGTCCCCTGCACTCGTGGCACGACTAGTATTATCTAGACGATTTCTGACAGGTGTTTGTCTAACCTGCTCTTAAAAATTTCCAATGATGGAGACTCCACAACTTCCTTAGGCAATTTATTCCACCCTGACAGGAAGTTTTTCCTAATATCCAACCTAAACTCCCTTTGCTGCAATTTAAGCCCATTGCTTCATGTCCTATCCTCAGAGTTTAAGAAAAACAATTTTTCTTCCTCCTCCTTGTAACAACCTTTTACATACTTGAAAACTGTTCTCATGTCCCTTCTCAGTCTTCTCTTTTCCAGACTAAACAAACCCAATTTTTTCAAAAAGAATGAGGCGTACTTGTGGCACCTTAGAGACTAACAAATTTATTTGAGCATAAGCTTTCGTGGGCTAAAACCCGCTTCATCGGATACATGCAATGGAAAATACAGTAGGAAGATATATATACCCAGAGAACATGAAAAAATGGGTGTTGCCATACCAACTGTAATGAGAGTAATCAATTAAAGTGGGCTATTATCAGCAGGAGAAAAAAAACTTTTGTAGTGATAATCAGGATGGCCCATTTTCAACAGTTGACAAGAAGGTGTGAGTAACAGTAGGGGAAAAAATTAGCATGCGGAAATAGTTTTTACTTTGTGTAATGACCCATCCACTCCCAGTCTTTATTCAAGCCTAATTTAATGTTTGCAAATTAATTCCAATTCTGCCGTTTCTTGTTGGAGTCTGTTTTTGAAGTTTTTTTGTTGGGGTATTACGACTTTGAGGTCTGTAATTGAGTGACCAGGGAGGTTGAAGTGTTCTCCGACTGGTTTTTGAATGTTATAATTCTTGACATCTGATTTGTGTCAATTTATTCTTTTGCGTAAACCTACTGACCGCTATACTTACCTACATGCCTCCAGCTTTCATCCAGACCACACCACATGATCCATTGTCTACAGCCAAGCTCTAAGATACAACCACATTTGCTCCAACTCCTCAGACAGAGACAAACACCTACAAGATCTCTATCAAGCATTCTTACAACTACAATACCCACCTGCTGAAGTGAAGAAACAGATTGACAGAGCCAGAAGAGTACCCAGAAGTCACCTACTACAGGACAGGCCCAACAAAGAAAGTAACTGCCATGTACATTGGCCAAAGCAGACAATCTTTACGCTCACATACTTAATTCTTTGCAGGATTGGGACCTAAGTGATCAGCTGGTATAACTACAGCAGTACTTTCTATCCGCAAAGCTCAGATTGAGGGAAGACAGGAAGAGGTTGCTTTTTGGATTTTGATAAAGCTAAAGCTTGGCTTAACTCATGTCTAAACAATGTGAAGGAAGAACAGAGTGATTAGGGTATAGATGGGCCAGAGGACAATTATGGCACAGTATTCTTTCTGATTTTCAGTAAAATGTTTTGATATGTTGTAGCATTTTTCTGTATATTAATTAATATGAATGTATGGCATCATATATTTCTTGCAGTTTCTTACAATTTTTGGGAATACTTGGTAGCTGTCTGTTTTTTCTAATATAGAATCCAAAATCATTTAAGGACTTATACCTCTCAAACTGTAATTCTGGGGGAGGGGAAATCATTATTTCTTTGGAATTTTGTCTTTACTATTTGTTAATCACTATGATTTTACTGATGATTGTGATTGAAAATGATAAATAAATGGAAAAAGTGGATCCTTAGATTGATAGTGTGTGCTGAGTATGTGAGTTTAGTGCTTGAGCTATAGCAATGCTCTTTACATTAGGAAAGAAAACTGGGGTGTCATTAGAAAATCCATTTCAAACAGCTTCATGTTAGATTATGGTCCCTTCACGCACTTTCAGCAGCAGCTCTGTAATGCTATCACACTATCAAAACAAGCATCTTTGAGGCCTGTGCCATTATCATCAGGATTTTTTTTAAGTTGGTGGTGGCTCTGAATATTTTGGGAAGTTATAAATGCCTGTAATGAAGGCAATGGATCCCCCAACAATTATATTCTCTCTGTAGAGACTCACTGATATTCTACTTGTTTAACAGATAAATTGTTGAACACTTAGACCTACATTGTGTCTCTACATCCACTTTCCACAGTAGAGGCCAATCACTATGGTAAGAGATATTAGAGACAGACACAAAGGCTCTGGGAGTGCAGGCCAGAGCAGTGGCTGTTATGCCTTTTACAGGATACAGTATGTGCAGCTTCCTGTGCCAGTCTAGTTCTGATGGCTAGTACAGAGGGAAAGTGCTGAACTTGCCTCTCCATATGAACTTTAAGAAGGCTAGTTCAATAGCTATGCACAATAATTACACTCCAAGAGTCCAGGGCTCTGACTAGCTTTCCTTCAGATATTGTGCAAGGCGAGTCAGACTGGCCCTTAATTAAAAAAAAAAAGTATGTTTTTCATCTTTTATGTGTTTCCCAGTAACTTAAGAGTTGCTAATAGTGTAGATTAAGTCCTCTGTGTTTGCCGATCAGAAAAGTGCACTGTCAGATAATCATATGCAATTAGATATGCTAGGTGACTACATTTTTGATGCAATCCTCCTCCCTCTGAGCCTGTGAATGTTCCAATACATCACAAATACCTGAGCCTCCCAAAACACAGACACACTGGAGTTTAAATTGCCTGTTTATCACTGTCGTGTACAGGCAAAGCAAATTTACAAAATGCATTTTCTAGTCAATTTTATTTAAGAAGGAAAATGCACCACTTTCAGGAGTGAATGCTGATTGTTACTATATCTGAGCACTGACTCTTCATAATTTACACTCAGAAATGCATTTTTAAATGGTTGGAGAAAGGTGAGCTAATCCTAACCTCACCAATAGAATATCCCCCAAAGTCTTTTAAAAATACAGAAAGTGATAGTGACTACGTGGCCCTGACCCTGCAAACATGCATGAAGTGAAATGTGTCAGCTGACAGTCTTGGAGACTTAAGTCCCCTGCTTCATTAAAGAATTGGTACAGTATAGGCAGCAAAAGGGGTGGCTTGCTGCACACCATACCACTAATGTGCCTCAAACTTCATCTGGAAAAACATTTTGAAGGTGTGTGAGGGTAGTTCAGTTTCCATACCAGTTAAGTCTTTGGCCTCTTCCTTGGGATGGGCAGCAAGGGTGGCAATTCATTCCAGTTGGGGTGATGTTTCTCTATGTTGTGGGACACTTATCTATAAGAAATGGACTAAAGATCCGCAGCTCATTTTGCGTAGGGCATCAAAATGCTGTCAGACCAACTTTTCGTCACTGCTGAATTAGAACTGGCAACCTGGAGGTGCAAGGCTGCATATCTCATTTCTAATCCATCAAGCCATCCAGACCCCCTGAAGTTAATGTAAAACCAGAGAGATTAGAAAAAATAAAGTGGTGTGTCCCTTTTCTATCCAAAAGTCATCTTCAGTTTCCATATTGAGTTCCATGCAAGGCATCTCCCTTCATTTTATATTTCCATTCCATGCTTTGATATTTGTAACCTGGTTTGTGTTTCTGCTCTCATGACAATAGATGAACACCTGACTTTACCCATGCTAAAAATAGCAACTTGTTAGTCCTGTTCAGTGACTGTTTGTCATTAAACAATTGGAAGAAAGGATGTATTGTTTTCAGAGTGAGTTGGGAGAAGTAAATTCATTAACTCCACCAAGCCAATGAAAATTACCACTAGTCTGACAAGTTGTACTGTGAAACCAGTGTTACCAGGCGTGTGTGGGTATGAATTTTATTTATTTATTTATTGCCTTTAACACCAATAAAGAATATTCTCTTGTGCTAGTAAAAAAGTGTATAATAAATAATCATAATCAAGGGAGAGCAACTCTTTGAATTTATATCCTGACATTTACAGTAGATTATGTATAGATTAAGGCTCAAGATGATCTATGCAGACCAAAATTATACATCACTCCAAGTCATCTGAGTTGCTTCACAAGGAAATGGTGTTTCTATGTATTCAACCCAAGTGGCACTGTATTTTCCTCCATTTGTGACTTTCAGAAGAGCAATAGAATGAAGGGTGGTTTTGGTACAGGATGGTTTGTGTGTGTGTGTTTGGTAACACAGAGTTCATAATCCATTTACCTCACCCAAAGAGTTACAGTTAAATATATAGATATCTCCAGATCTCCACATTACAATTTTTCATATGATAGGTGTCTCATTAATCTTGATTATTGAACCTCTTATGATGTTAATTTAGATAGTAATTATTTCCTAGAATTTAATACTCCTGTGCTCATGCAGCAGCCATTTTTCAAATATTAATAACTTGGGTTTTTTTTTAATACCAAAATGACCTAGCCCAAATTATAAACTACTCACCCAAAAATAGTTTCATTTTAAAAGTCATTTTTTGTAAGAAAAGTAGAAAATAGGATCTGTAAATAACTACTGTACCACATTTTATTTCACCCAAAGAGTCTTGGAACGATCCATAATGCCTCCTAACTAGCTCACAGTGATGCTACTTCAAACAAAGGTGAGCTGGGATGCATTACTTTTGAACCCATCTATGCGTCTCTATTTGATGGCACAGAAGGATTTCTAAATAGCAATACAAGGGTTTATTTTAATCCCCACCCCATAAGAGCCAAGAAGCAAGGGATCAAGACTAACTCCTGAACTCCA